GTCATCGCTGAGCCGAAGCAGATTGAAAGCGATGACAACGACGACTACCCGTCCACTAATGCTCAACACGTTATAGTCAATGGCAACGAACCCGACGAAGAAGTGGAGCAATTTGTGAAGCCATCGGTCGACGAATCGGTGGTTAATGTAGTGAATAGCGAACCGTCGGCTGAATTGTGCGCTTAAGCGAGCCGTGCGTTCAGTCTATCGGTATATTACTCGTGATTTTGGGCCATATTTTTCTCGCATCTATTCCTTGATTATTGTTATGATTTTTTCCTGAGATTTGTTTTCATTTATTTTTTTTGGTTTTCATTTGAGTTTTTTGTTAAGATTTTTCTTTCCATTGATTTAATGTTCAATTATTTTCGTTTCCAATTCAATACAAGAAAACAATTGAGATTTTTATTATTTTTTGACTCAAAACCCAATCACTCAATCAAATGATAGGTTTTTCATATTTTTTGAATGCTTTTTAATTTATTTTTTAAACGACACTTTGAATGCAATATTAAAATCAAATTTTTTATAAGTTTTTTAAATTGAAATCAAAAATATAATGTATTTTGTGTTGTCAGACATTAACGATGTTTTTTATGATAAACTTTGTTTACGTATAGTTCTATGTATTTCTTTCTCAATCCTTTTCCATATGTAAAGCATTCAAAATGCAATTTTTGTCACAAAAATAGTTATTATTATTTTTATATTATTTATTGGTTTAATTATAATTAATGTTTAATTAATTAATTACTACTCATAAATGTCGCCAAACTATTGCTGATTATTTATCACAATTATTACTATAATTTAGTGGTTATTATAATTATATAATTAATAGTTTAATATAATTGATATCTGATATTCTTGTCTTGATTTGAATTATTTTTCAATATTTATTACTAAAATATCTGTTAGAAATCAATCACTAATTAATCGCGAATTTGTACTACAATTAGACTTTCTATACAGATTTTTGCAGCTTTTGTATGATTTATATACAAAATACAGACACTGTTTACAAACAATACAAACAATTTTTGGGTAACAATTTTTCAATTGTCTGGAAATTATTGACTGAATTAATAAACAATTTTTATAATAATCTCACGTTTTTCTGGTATTAATCGCAAAAACAAATGTTTATTTGAATTATTGAATGAATGAATAAAATGTGTTTTTGAATACAAAATACTTGTTTTGTTTATTTAGAATGATATTCACTAATGGTATGCAAAAATGTATGAAATGTTTGTTATTTTAAAGTCACAAAATAATTAATTGGATTATTATATTAGATTACGATTTGAATTATTTGTTAGCATATTATTGGAAATGGAATTCCTTTGCTTTAATTTGTACCGTATTTTGGGTTAATTTCTTATGAGATTATTATTAAATAACTAATTAAAATAATTATTTAAAAGTCTGTTTATAAATAGCAATTAAATCTGAATAAATAAATTGAAAAAACCTAATCTATTAAAAATTGCTAAAAAACTAATAATACTAATAATATTTATAATATATTATTTTCTAAATAATGTTATAATTTGCACAAAACCCTACAAATTACTAGAATAATCATTAAACTAATGTATCAATTATTTTGGTTCGCCATTGGATTGCACTTTAGACCAGAATTGAGCTCTATTTTCATTCAACTGATCCCACATTTGAACCAATTGTTTGGACACAATCTTTCCGACGGCGTTGTCGAAGAACTCTTGGAAGCGAATCACACGGCCTTTGGTCTCGTACTCGAGCTGTTCGTATTGAAAGGCCTGAAGCATGACATCGAAGCGATCAAACTCTTTGACAATCTTGGCTTCGGGTGTCTCCTGTCTCTCGTACTCATCGAACAGATCCTTGAATTCTTCGCTACTCTTCGCCGGCAATAACGACACTATCGATGAATAGACAAACAGTCAATACGTGGTTATTATCACCGCTAAGAGAAAGTGATACCCAAGTAATTCATGGCATTGTTTTCGAGTTTGTGTTTCTCGTCAACGGATATGCCATCGAAGGGAGTGATGTCTCCGACCAGACATTCGGCCATATCGTGAATGAGCGTCAGTCTCACCAATCGGTTCCGGTCGACGAGTGTGTCAGTGGTGTCGGGCGTATACAACATTGCCATTACCGCCATTCGGTANAAAAAATAAATTAAAAAGCATTCAAAAAATATGAAAAAACCTATCATTTGATTGAGTGATTGGGTTTTGAGTCAAAAAATAATAAAAATCTCAATTGTTTTCTTGTATTGAATTGGAAACGAAAATAATTGAACATTAAATCAATGGAAAGAAAAATCTTAACAAAAAACTCAAATGAAAACCAAAAAAAATAAATGAAAACAAATCTCAGGAAAAAATCATAACAATAATCAAGGAATAGATGCGAGAAAAATATGGCCCAAAATCACGAGTAATATACCGATAGACTGAACGCACGGCTCGCTTAAGCGCACAATTCAGCCGACGGTTCGCTATTCACTACATTAACCACCGATTCGTCGACCGATGGCTTCACAAATTGCTCCACTTCTTCGTCGGGTTCGTTGCCATTGACTATAACGTGTTGAGCATTAGTGGACGGGTAGTCGTCGTTGTCATCGCTTTCAATCTGCTTCGGCTCAGCGATGACCACCGCCTCTTCAACCGGCGACTCGTCGATCAGTAGCTGATCCCCGTTGACGGTCACAACGGGGGCTGCGGTGGCCGTCAAGTGTTCGGTCGCCGATTTGCTATCGTCATCGATATTGCCGTTAATGTTGTTCACGTGCTGGTCATCAGTGGTGTGGTAGACATCGAGGTTGGCCTGGAATTCGTCCATAAACGCCGAGTCGATGTTCCGCAAGCGGACCAACAGTTCGGCCTTCTCTTCGTCGCTCCATTGGGCGAACCATTCGTTCAGGAGTTTCATCCGGCACTGGAATATCGAGGCCGGTCTGTCCGCCACACCTGTGCCCACACATACAGCATGAATAACATTAATGTAAATCACTTTTCATCGCTAATAATGTCAGTGAAAATATGGTAAATTTGATTGACAGCCAAAACAGTGTTATTTGAAGACCTATTTATTCAACGGCACGTCAAACGACTGGCCCTTTGCATCCATTGCCATGTAATGCATACTCAAAATTATGCCTAAAAAGCACTTGTATAATTATTATATACAAGTTGTATTGTAAACACCCGTTACTCTGAATAATTGTTGACAATTATTATGTGTTATTTGAGACCAAAATGACGTGAAAAATAGTTTTATAAATTTTGACACATTTTTGGGTAACAATTGGTTTATAACAACGAGTTTTATATCAGTTATTATAAGCTGTAAACTCACGCTAAACTCATACATGTATTAAAGCATTAGATTTAGTGATAAGAAAAAACAATTAAAACTAAACTATTTTTACAATCGTTTAATTAGAGATATGAGTGATATGTAGAGCACCGGTAGGTCTCATGGCTTAATGGGTTAGGCATTCAATGGCACTCAAGTTAATTGGGTTATCATTACGGGTATGGCAGCCGAGAGAGAGAGAGA